GTTGAAGCCCTGATTTTTTCAGGCTTCTTCTTTCCAATTGCTTAAATTGGAAAATTTACTGCGATGATCATTCTTCACTTTCAACTTGGTTCATGTGACATAGAGCAAAAATCTCTGTCCCCTGTTACAATTTACTTCAAGTTTTATTTAATTTTCATTCTCTCGTTATACTGGCGTGTCCAGCAAGAGACAAAGAGAGTGGATCTAAATGTTGTGTGCTACAAAGAGTTTCTTTCATTAAATGGTATTGACATTGTGCTAGATCTGGATCTCCATGGTTTGTGATTGTGTAGTTCCAGAACATATCCATACCCACCCCAAGGAAGGTTGACAGAGATTCCAAGGGCCCGGGTGGGGTTGAAAGCAAAAATTTTTAAAGGGAAGTATGAAGCTTAACCAGAATTTCCAGGGGGATGCAGGAGGGGAGGGGGGGGGGAGTTCAAACTAAGCAAAAGCCTCTGTGGGAGGGGTTTGGATATTTTCCTTAACAACACAATGCTTATTTCTGTATATTTTTGTCAAATATGTTGTAGGTGGAAAGCACAAACTTCGTGGCGACATCAACATCCTGTTGTGCGGTGACCCAGGAACAGCCAAGTCCCAGTTTCTAAAGTATGTCGAGAAGGCTGCTCAGAGAGCTGTGTTTACAACTGGCCAGGGTGCGTCAGCTGTTGGATTGACTGCATATGTTCAGAGACACCCAGTCACTAAAGAGTGGACACTTGAGGCTGGTGCACTGGTTCTGGCAGACAAAGGTGTCTGTTTGATTGACGAGTTTGACAAAGTGAGTTCTAATTTAATTTGTGTCTTAAGCTGAAATACTAAGTTCTCATCTATATAAAATTATGGACAATTTTTAAATTAAATTTATCTACCTTGATTTAGATGAATGATGCAGATCGCACAAGTATTCATGAAGCCATGGAACAACAAAGCATCTCAATTTCCAAAGCTGGGATTGTTACCTCATTACAGGTGAATATGTTATATCAAAGTTATCAATTGGAAACAATGACTCAGTCATTCAGATGAGCAGTGAGCACACACTTTCATTCATGACCAAGAGAATGCAAACAAATAAAAAATTACAATATTTAGAGATGACTCCACATCAGGCTTAGCTGGTTTTCATGCCGATCTTTTATTTTGGTCAAATTGGAATGTGGAGATGTTGGTTTTTGTGGAAGGAGCAAGGTGAGAACCAAAAATAAACTCAACCCACATATGGCACTGGGCTGGAATTGAACCCGGGCCACATTGGTGGGAGATGGATGCTCTCACCACTGCGCCATCCCTGCTCCAACAAAATGTTCTTTTGAAGATTCACGGTTCATCTTCTTATATGTGTATAACGTACTGAAAATGTTGTTCTCTAATATTTTGCAGGCACGATGTAGTATCTTAGCTGCAGCTAATCCAATTGGTGGGCGATATGACCCATCGTTGACTTTTGCCGAAAATGTAAGTGTCACACAAATGTCTGCCACACATTGTGCTGGTAATGTAATGAGGAAATAGGTGTTTATTAATGTTGGTTATTGAAGGGATGAATTAATGTGATACTAGCAAACTACTTTTTTTTTCACACAATGTTCTCAAAATCAATCTTTTGTTGACTTGCAGGTTGATCTCACTGAACCCATCTTATCACGGTTTGACATTCTCTGTGTGGTTAAAGACACAGTGGATCCAGTGCAGGTAAAGAACTTACTGTCACAAAATTTCACCAATAATTGGGTCACGAAAGTCAGGGCTTGAAAAAAGTGCTGTTTGGTCATTTGGTCATTTGGGACAAGCCCAATGGGCAAGGGCCCAAGCCCTGTTATTCAACACTGTTGTAAGAACTGGCCTATGTTGAATCCAGGAACACCTACACCTGCACCTAAACACTCTGGACTGGATAAGCATTATCTTTTCATTTCAGATTATTTTTTATTAGCCTTTAAACGAGCCAGAATTTTTATGCTGTGAAATTTGCAGGATGAAATGCTGGCCAGGTTTGTTGTCAACAGCCATGTTAAGCACCACCCTAATGCTGTGAACAACAAGGATGATGATGATGATGATGACTTTCAGCAGGTGGGAATGCACTAATAAATAGCTCAAATGCCGTACTTAAAGATTGCATGGTTTTTGTTAAGAATTCGCTTTGTAGAAAATTGTAATTAAACCAAGGAATATAGTTACTAGTAGCTGTTTACTAAGGTAGAAAAACACCAAAGAAGTAAACAAGAATGGCTAAAATTGGAGAAGATTAGGACAGATAATGTTATTCATGAATTGGGCAAATTTCAAAGTTTAGCAAAACTGCATCTGTGCCAATTGTCTTGATGATCAGAAAAACACCAAAGAAGAAGACACGGATGGCTAAAATTGGGGACGATTTGGACAGAAAATGTTGTTCTTGGAACACAAACTAATCCAAGTTTAGCAAAAGTGCATTTATGCCAATTGTCTTGATCAGCCAAAGTTGGGCAGCATTTTAACTCATCAGACCCATAGTGTGGAAAAAAAAAATCGCAAATTGTTGTGCTGTTAGGTATTACTCTTCACCCAAACAATTTCATCTGCTTTCCATGCTTTACACTGAAAGAAAAAGATCTCGCACGGTCTACTTCGAGAGAGAGACTAGTTCAACCCAAAGCTCTACAATAGACAGACTGCCGTACTGTAATGACTGACTTGGAAGACCTGATCAAATAGTCCAGTTTAAAAAGTACTGTGCACGCATTGCTTGCCTATGATTTAGGATCATTTTCAAGACGTTTCTTGTGACTCTTTCCATAGAATGCTTTGCAACCTGGTGTGGAAACCATTCCTCAAGAAATGCTAAAGAAGTACGTCATATATGCCCGTGAGAAAATCCACCCCAAACTGCACAATATGGACCAGGATAAGATAGCTAGAATGTTTGCCGAGCTCAGAAAAGAGTCAATGGTGAGAACATTATCTGGACTTTATTTTTTCGTGGAGTTGTATTTATTTATCAAGCGGGATTGTATTGAAATAAACAGGGGCTAAAGAAAACAAATTTTCCGACTTACACCTCGGGTAAGCGGGTACAAGTCCCACTGTGGGGCCCGTGTCTCGAAAGCCCCGGAAACTTTTCGGGCCCGGAAAGCCATAGCAAAATCTCGAACCTTACGATTACAGAGCTGTTTTATTCACGTATTCTTAATACGAACAGAGGCTCCCTTCATACAAGAAGTTTCAGGCGTATACACTACTCCGTTTGTAGATACAGATGAACTAAAAATGGCTTTACGGGCCCGAAGAGTTTCCGGGGCTTTCGAGAAACGGGCCCCTGGTCACTTAGCTGTAGTTGTGTCTCTAGACCCTAGCTCAGATCCTGAGTCATACTTGTAAATAGCCAACTGGTCTGCCTCCCGCTAGTTGGGATTTTTAAGCCTATTATGTTTAGTTGATATATTTATTTCTTTCTGTTTAAGTGGTATGCCTGCGAACTAAACTAGCTAGGTGCAGCTAAGCGCATTGACCACTGTAAACAACGACATTTGAACTTTTTCGTTAACATTGAGTACGTGCATCGTTATCTTATTTTTAAAATCTTTACAGGCCACTGGCTCCATTCCCATCACTGTTCGACATATCGAGTCCATGATCCGAATGGCCGAGGCCCACGCGAAGATGCATCTGCGGGAATACGTGACGGAGGATGATGTCAACATGGCGATTAGAGTTATGCTGGAGAGTTTCATTGATACTCAGAAGTTCTCTGTGATGAGAAATATGAGAAAGGTACGTACGCGAAAACTTTACAAGCAAGTCGAGTTGTTTGGTTTTTGAGAAACTGTTCAAATAGTTGTATTTACTGCCGCCCTGTAAGCACTACGTCGAAGGAATTTGAAAACAGAGTTTACGCTCTGTAAACGCCTCAAATGTTTTCCGTCCACACTACGCCGGAGAAATTTAAAACCGCAACAATCAAAGGTCATTTTGGATTTGTGATTTAGGAAAACTCGGGCAGGGAAATCACAAAATTATTGTGAACTCATCGTTTTCGAAAAACGCCATTTTCGAAATGTTTTTAATCCACTTTAAAACGCAAAGCCGTCGTTTTCAAATTCCTCCGGTGTAATTTGAAGAGCGTTTTCGTAAAGTGCCGTTTTCGGGACGGATTAGTGTGAACGGTAGGCCTAACTGTAGAAATAAAGCTACGTTTTCAAATTCCTCCGGCGTGGTGCGGCTGAGGCCTGAGCTAACAACAGACCGAAAAGATTACACATCTTTTTGTTAGTTTTCTCGTCATTTCGGCCAGTCAAAGAACAATCTAAGGCAACGACAGTGGATTGACTTTAAGCTCTGCACCGCGCAAACTAACTTGTTTTCTGATTGGCCAGGAAGCAACAGGTAAGCCATAAAAAAGATGTTGAAAAAACTTTGACAGAATGCTTTTGCGAACACCTTGTGCGGTGACGGTTCGGGTGTTTGTTCTTTTTTTTGTTTTTTTGTTTTTGTTTTTAATAGAAGAGTTGTAACGACAGCACTGTTTATATTTTTAACAGGCATTTTCGCAGTACTTGGCGTACCGTCGTGACAACAACGAGTTGCTGTTGTTTGTGCTGAAGCAGCTGGCCAAGGAACAAGTGACATTCTCCCGCAGTCGGTACCGCAGTGAACCTGCTGTGATTGAAATTCAGGAGGATGAATTCACGGACAGGGTAAGCTTGTGTGCATGTTTTAAAACGTTTGAAGATTTAAACGGACTATATCAAGAGGGACATTTTTACAGAAATTTATCGCCAATCGAAAAACGCGGGATTTAAACAAACAAACAAACAAACGCGATGATTTGTTTCTCCTATGAGTCAATTTTGGCGAGAAACAAAATTGCTTTTCAATGGTAGGAAATCTCAAAATGGTAGTTTTCCGAGGTAGAAAGACGTAAAAAAAGTAACCCAGAAAGCCAAAAAGGGATATACACACGATGAAAGATGGACCCTGAAAAAATTTTGACGAGCACGCTACCTCGGTGTAGCCAGAAAGGGTTGTGAAGAACACATGGCAAATCCGAACATTTGGACCGTGATTTGGAGCGCTCTTCAGAACTTGTGCGCTTCCCTAAAACGGGACGATAGCAATCGAAAATTTTCTCGTAAATCTCCCTTAAAAGGCTCTTAGTCTTTCTACCGAATTGGAAATTATCTCCTATAGTTTGCTTTTCCTTGTGTTCTTTGTTTTCCTATTCTCCTCATGCTAGGTCATGAAAAAGCTTTGTCTATTCTAAATCCTTTCAAGTGAACTTTCTAGACATTAGTTTAAACTTCTTGTTTTTCTTTTTACTTTCTTTTTTCAGGCGCGGCAAATAAACATAACAAGTTTGGGATCGTTCTACGACAGCCCAATGTTCACGTCTAATCGATTTATCCACGACAAGAAACGAAAGCTCATCATTCAAACACTGTAGGCTAGGCTGCCTCTTGTTGAACGGTTCGAAACCTGTTTTAGACAATTTCAACCATTGCGTTACTGGACAATATAATGATAAGAAAGGAGTCACACCCTTTTCACTGTATCAACTTGATGGCTCGTTGCGTGACTAGAAGCGAAATGTGTAACGATGGCTTGACACCCTTTTCGGTGAAGTATAGCACTCTTCGTGAGGAGGGAATGGTTATGAGAAGCTGAAAATGCTGCAGTTCAATTTTACGTACATTCCCGAACGGACGGTCCTGAAGCTTATGTTAACGTTTCTTTTTTTGCACGTGCTTAATGCATGATGTAAGTCTTGTAAATTAATAGCTTTGTTTTTGTACAGACGTGTGTATCCGTGGTATAAAATACATTTATCTTCTCAAAAGCTTGCGTATCATGATTTTGGTTATCCTCAGATGTAGTGCGTTTCTTGGGTTTGTGTTTCCTGTTCAGTACGCCGACATCCACCACGTTCTATTTTGCGCAAAGGTAATAGGACATCAGCGCGTGTTTCACTTTGGGGGAGGTGTGTGGCTGCGTGGCTTCTCTCTACATAAGTATACTATAAAAGAATCAAGTCGACAGACCCTTCCATCCTTTTTGCAAACATAGGCTGTCCCTGTGTCTTTTAAGTTCCTTGAAAAATGTGTCTAGTAGAAACTCTCCAGTTTGTTTCACCTTTTACTCTCTCCCTTATCCTATTCGTAATTTCTGTAGTTGCAATTGAAAGTTCTCGCTTCGAAGTTCGATAGCAGTGCGTGAGTGCTAACCCAATAGGTACCCTCCCCCTTGTTTTCTCGCGAACTTCTCCCAAACCAACCGATCCTCTTGGACCGGCTAAGTCCCGGGGAAATCCCGTAGGGATGTTCTTTGGAAATCATGAGATTAATCTGGGCTTAGCTCAAACTTTCTTTGACTTCTAAAAGAAACTATTGTAGAACAGATATAAACAAGTGAACACAAAATTTCTACAAGGGCCAAAGGACAATACAGAGTAACCGGATACCAGTGACTGACTGCAAAATGTGAAGAACAATAAAGTAAAGCTGACCGTACCGTACAGAAATTTGATATATATTTTCCAATATTTTGTCAAGCACGGTCTTAGTTTAGAGAATGGATTATTGAAAAAATTGCTGCGTCAGTGGTTCACTATCCTGACCATGCATCCAGGCCTTCCCATCCTCCAATAATTGCCCCGCCTCTAAAATAACAACCCACCCGTCAACACATAAGAAGCATGAGTCACGAGAAACGTATAAATAAGACCGAGGGGTTATTTTCAGCTTACATTATGTAAGAACAGATCGAAGTTAATGTTATCAACAGGAAATTATAGATGAGTTCAGGATCCCGAGACGGATTGTCCGATAAAGAGATTTTTCTACTTTCGTCTCTTTTGCAAGGTCACCGCGTAGCAGGCGTGAGACGGAGCGGACCGGGAGAGAAACGGGGATGAAAGCAGGGGTATTGGCCGCCCCTACCCCTCCCTCCTGTTCCCCCGCCGGGATCACTGCGGAAATTGAAACGCGAGGGCTTATGGGAGATTTCAAGCAAAAAGGCGACGAAGCCTCGTTATGAAGCTCCGCGCACGCCATTATTGTCGGCCATGTTGAATGAATCACTTCATACGTACAAAGCCAAAACGGTCGAAATTATGTGATATTTATAGCGCCGTTTGGTCTCTTTTTTCAAGGCACGACAGAACATAAACTAGAAGAGCTAGTCACCGAACACAGAGATACTCTTGCTGTTTTGTGAAGTCATCGTGGGAGCGAAACCCTCGATTTCCAAGAATCGAGAGTTTCTTTGCTGGCTAGAGAACAGAAGTTACCCCCTTATATTTAGCTCTCTGTGAAGCATTATGGTAGATTGGAGAGAGAAATAGTTTATTGATAATATCTGTCCTTGGAAAATGAAGATTGACAGAAGTAAACTGCGAAAAACGCAGTCGGACGTGGTAAGTCTCGGAGAGTAGTACCATTTCCCCTAAGTTCAGTCGGGACCAAGAACTTACTTTCATCCGATGAGAGTAAAATAATACAAAGTACATGCTAGAAGCAAGAGAAGTCGTTGCATAGATACTAACTACACTGATGCTCCTTTTTTATAAGTGCAATATTGACAAAGTTTTTTTCACAGGCTCCTGAGTGCAGGCAACTTATTCAAAGACTCAAGGAGGCGAGTGACTGCGAACTGATCTGCATACTCAAGGACATCAATACGTGGTACTACGGAAAGGTGAAAAAACAGATATTAATCCCTTGTATTTTTATAACTTTGGTATGTGTTCATCAGAATTGAAGCTGTTTAACTGAGCATTCCAAGTTTTACCCAAGACGGGNTTACCTTTTTAATTTTTAAAATCTTACAGGACCCTTACGATAACAGTACTATCAAGTCCTGATGGGTTAATCCTGTTTAAAAATTCATTTATTATTATTATTATTATTATTATTATTATTATTATTACTATTATTATTATTATAGAGCGCTAGTAGATTTATACTAAAACTCATTAGAAACATGGAGAATATGTTTTCTGTTTCTTTTAGAGAATTTTGTGATAAAAAAGGAAAACAAATTGTTTACTTTGATCATCAAAATGTAAATTCTCTTTGCTCTCGTCATCATAACATCAACAGCTTGTGCTAATTTTGTGTTTCTATCAAGTTATAGAAACACGATTTTTAACCAATCAGTGCAGATATTTTCGTTGGGCTATTTACTAAACATGTGTACATTTTACATGTACTGAAAATACAAATCTTAAATTTTGCTTCTAATGTTGTTTCTTTAGTGTGAGCTTCAACACTGGGTTGATGTCATGGACAAATTTGATGATATCTTGGCAAGTGTTGCTAAACCAGTGAACGGAAGTAGTTGGATTCTCACTTATGACAAGTTAGATCAGCTTGAAGGACCTGACATAGCGGTAAATACTGTAGACTAAAATATAGAGAGAATTTCTCTTCATTCACTCAGTTTTGCACAGACATGATTTATTTCAGGAATTCTTCCCTTAAAATTTGAATCACCAATGGCAGGGCTGTGCTCTAGAAGCACCTGGGTACCATAGGCTACTAGCTTTTACTTTTGGGCGACTGGTAAAACATACTCTATTCATATAATTAAGCTTGAGTGCTGGGCACCCAGGATTTTAGGGGCTCTTCTTAATTTTTTTAGACCGCAGCCTTGAATGGCATACATATGTATATCTATGGGCAGTCTGGCAGTTGCTTGAGGGTATGACAGTGGGAAGATTCATGCTTTGATGGTACAGCAAAGTACATTATGAATTCATAATCTTGTAGCAATATTTTTTAGGAGTCTTCAAGGTGAGAGTACATTGTTATTCATTAATTTTTTTTGGACATAGACTGAGCAACGGTGTCTGGTTAATCATGTGCTGAGATTCACTGCTCTGGTGTTGGAGCACTCATATACAAGACATCTCTACAGCTCATCAGAGGTAGGTAAATTTTAAGTCAGTTTCCTCCACTAGGTCACCCCTATAAACCTACCCTCTCTCATCCTGTCCCTCCCCAATCTGAGCAAACAAAATGAATCTGGTGCCAGTAATCTGACTTGCAGTGTTGAAAAACTTCATTCTGATTACATGCTCTTTAGGATGACTAACAAGGTATAAAATATGACCCAATGTAATCGTGGAATGTAACTTTTTTATTCCCTTGTGCGAGTACTCACTCTGCCTGGCCTCATGGATTAAGCTGGACAGAGTTAAAAGAAGCACCCTAGCTGTTATATTTTACTTGCAGAAAGTTTTTTAAAAAGGTAATCAATTAAAATCTCAAACTTGACTTAATCCTCTTTTCCTCTTATGAGGCATAGGGCTTCCACCATAGCTTTCCACCAGACTCTGTTCTTCGCAATCTTTTTGGCCTTATAAATCTCAGTGTTCACTTATGTTTGAATTTGTTGTTTGCTTGTAGCATCTGGTTTCTCTGTTAGTTGCAAGTGACATGGAAGTTGTGCTCTCTGTTCTTGGAGTGCTCTATGTATTTAGGTATGTTGCAAATGTTCATCAGACTTAAAGGTTGTTCACCTTGATTTAAAAGCCCAGTGAGAGTTACCTGGGTACATGTACCTTCAAGAAAATGGTAAAAGATTTATTTTGGAGTAGTGCTGTTACTTGTGACCAGTGTAATGCACGCTGTTTGCAAGCAAGGTTTCCATTAATTACCATAAACTAGAAAGTATGTCAGCTACATGAATTTGGCTTCCAAATGAGGGCGACAGGGAGTAACAATCAAACTTCAACAGCTTTTGATCTGCTGGTCTTCTTGCCTAAAAACATCTAAAACCCTTGAGCATTGTTTGTTATTGATACATGTAGTGTAGATATTACTTATAAATTTCAAGAGTGTTGCATAACTAATATTGTCTGAGAATCATATTTTAACCTTTTTATCTACTATAGCAAGAGATCCAGTTTCATACCACGGTTGCCAGCTGATAAGAGAAAGGCAATTCAACAGCGTCTTCAGTGCTTAGGAGAGGTAAGTAACAACCTTGAAAAAATTAATATTCAGCAATGTGAGAGACATTTTTAACTACAGTATACAACAACAACAACAACAACAAGGTTTATTTGAACTGTAAAATTAACTTAATTACTAATTAATGTTATTAAATCCATTTTGAAATCATATTTATCTCGTTAGACATGGGGAGGTAAGAATGCAGGGTTCAGTCTTGCTCACTGTTGTCAGGATTTACCTCTCAAGGTAAGTGGAGCTCGCTGTGTGCAACAGTACTACTTGCGTTCTGCATGATTAGTACTATGTAGTTCTCTGGTTTATGTGCAAGTACTTATAGAGGACCTACTTGTATATGATAACTATGTGCTTTCAACTTGAAGTTCATCATTATGGTTACTTTTGTCTGTAATATTGTAACATTGTAATTTGCATTAAATTTTTGTTTTTTTCTGTTTAGGAGTTTCCTGCCAGCTGTGCTGATGTTTACTTTGAGTATTACAATGAAAGTGCCAATACTCCTCAGTCTGACTCACAGGTATGGCAAAAATAATAATTATTCAGCCTCTTGCAGTGCATTCCCTGGTTGTTTGAAGGCTGGAATATGCTAGCTATCCACTGGATATATTGCTGTGCAGTGGACAAGTGCTGACTAAACCACGCTACCAACTTGATGGTGATTTATCCAATGGATAGCATTATCTATCTTTCAAACAACCCTGGCCATAGGTTTACTATTTATGTGTCTGATCATAAATGTACATGTATTGGCAAAAAGCATAGAATTATTTTTTGATTAATCTTGTTGTGTGTATAATGGTTGACCATGTAATTATTTTAATTTATGATAGTGCTGGGATGTACATAGTATTAGTCTTAATCAGCTGTCTTGGACTGAACAGTCTGAATAAAACTGAAATAGTACATGTACATCTAGTTAATGACCAGTGGGTAATTTTAATTCTTTCAGCAGGAAAAAACACCAGGCAGTCAACTGTGTTCTGTACATGTCAAGCAACTTTACCAGGTAGACTGATATTAAACTTTGCTAAACTTTTACATGCTAAATTGATGTAGACCTCTTAACGTATTCATGATTTCCATGTTTACATGTAGCTTCTTGTTCAATATACATGTCCACTTCTTTTATCTTCATTTACAATGAAATTCATTCATGCTGATAGACATCAAACTTTTTCTTGGGGGAGAAGGGGGGTTCAGTGGCCGATAGGTTAGCAGAATGCACAGGAATCGATGCAGGAATCTCTGACAGTTCTGGCCTTGTAAGGTCCTAATAGTGTGTTCCTTCTTAAGACAAGCCCAGATAGATAAGTGATAATAGTTAGATCTAATGGTCTGAAGAGTGTAGTTAACAGCATGTGCTACATGTAGGTTGGGATTGCTGTTAAACAAAGATATGTTCATATTATTGAGTGTACATTCTTTTATATTAATTTTTCTCCTTCACTAGTTTTCAGAGAATCCAGGAGAAGTTATGGAACAAGTAACAACTTGTTACAATGTACCGACTGACAAGCAGGTAATAATTTATTATCCATTGTAAACTGTATTTATGATGTGCACTTGCTTGGATATGTACAATCTAGTTTTTCCACATAAAGGCAAAGTCTCCTTACAAGCCAAGTGGCCTATCAGGTCAGTGCTTATCGTGGTTTCTGTAGCACGAAGCCACTAGGAATATTTGTGCTCCCCCCGGGATGGGATGCTATCTAGTCCATCGTATGGTTACCCTCAGCATTAGATTTGCAGGTTACCATTTATACACCTGGGTGGAGAGAGGCTATGTTAGAGTCAAATGTCTTGCCCAAGAACACAACACAATGTCCCCGGCCAGAGCCTGCACCTGGACCACTTGATCCAAAGTCGAGTGCACTAACCATGAGGCCACTGCGCCACTTGTTTGGATGTGTAGTTTTTCCTCCTAAAACTATTCAAATCTTGTCTGATGCATGCACATACAATCTTTCAAGACTTTTTTGTTTCTAGCATGCTGATTAAAAGGAAACTGACTGATACATTTTATTACTATTTTCAGGTGAATCTGTTCAGTAGAATACGATTGGCCAAACACTTTCCCATCTATGAGAAGAGATTACAGTGTATCCAGGCTCGACTGCAAGCTATCTCAGTGTTATGTAAGGACTGTTCCTGTATTTCATCTCTCTTTTCTATTGATTGCCAGCTTCAACTGTCAGTATTTGGAAGGATTTTAGGATGGTCTTTGAGTGGAATGATTCATCTTGTGGATAACAGTACATTCTTACCATTATCTATTCACAGAGTATGGTGTTAAGTTTGGACAATGCATACATGTACATATTAATTTTATTCTCTGCTTAGTAATGCATTGATTTTGAAATGAGGAATATGATGTTGATCACATTTTAGGAATTAAATTTTTTATGGTATTCAGTGGTACCAAGCTTACCTCCTTTATGTTATTTATTGTTGTAGTGTATTCAAACAGCACACAGGATGTTGTAAACCCACTGCTATACCAGGGATTCATAGAGGAAACAGTGGAACTGCTTGAGTTCGATCAGCCTCAGTTCAGTGTAAGTTTCCGAGGTTACACAACTATTTCTGCTGCTAATAGCTATATACATGCCATCTACAGCAAAATATTTCTGACATCAACAGAGGCAAACTTCACATGTTTGTTTACAAAGTTTTTACCAGTCTGAGGCAAACCTTGTCCTCAATTTAACTCAAGTCCATGCTTGACATGAACCACTGTCAATCTTTGAGATTGTCAAGCTAATAATGTGGATTCTTTTTTATCAGAAACTGTCATTTAAAAAGTGCAATTGAACTACATGTATACATTTGTAGGTTACAATGGCATACACTATAATGTCAGTTTACATGTTATCTTTTTTTTCAGGATATTAGAACAGCAGCCATCCGGACACTTACTGCTCTTGTGCACATGGAGTGCAGTCCAAGGTACTCTGAACACATCAATCTAAAGCACATAAAGAAGTTCTTAAAGCATATAAAGAAGAGTGTGAGAGTCATGAAGATATGTATCATTATTTTGTAGTACATGTGTCAAGAAATCACCGACTTCTTTAATTGGACATATAAGTTTAACAAAAAAAAAAACGCACTTTTGTGTTACTACTCAGGGCTTGAAAAAAACTTGAATTCCAGCCTGCCCTTGGGATAGCTACATGTAGCTCAAAAATTTTGCTTGTCCCGGGCAAGTCTTAGTTTGCTCCTTTAATGATTTAGTAGGCAGATGACTTACCTGGTCCCTTGCCTGTTGGGCAAGTGAGAATTAAAAGCTACTTTCCCAGAAGGAGAATCTGCTTCTCCCAGGCAACCGATTGGCACTTTTTCTGAACACTAGCAAACACAACAAGCAACACAACTAGCAAACACAACTAGTGAACACTACATGTACTTGCAAACACAACTACATGTAGCAAACACAACTAGCAAATGCAACTTGTCTAGTGGACACTACTTGCAAACACAACTAGCAAACACTACTTGCAGCACTACTACTAGCAAGTGAAAATGAAAAGTGACTTGCCCAGAAGGGCAATCTACTTGTCTCAGACAACTGGACGGTATTTTTTTTGGAGCCCTTTCACTGTATACCTAAGTGTATAGATGGCCTCCAGGACACTTTTAGCACAAGATGACAGTCATTGGTCATTGGTTTTATGAATTTCAGTAGAACTTAACAGTGTGGTATGTGATCCTAAAATACTCTGTTTTATATTTTGCCTGATTTTAGAGTGAACACTGTCATTGACTGTACAGGGTTAGCATCTTATCATGGATATCTACCAACCCTCACGCGAAACTGCATTCAAGCTCTCACAGGTACAACACTCAGGGGTTTTATTAAGGGCTGGGCACCAAGCAAATTGACCGGCTGCGAGGATGATTTTGCTCGCCTGGTTTGACCATCTTGTGGAAAGTTTTTCTTATAAAGAAGTTCAGTTAAAGAGTTTTGCCCACCCGTGAAAACCAGTTGCCACCCTGCTGAAAATGTTATTAAAACCCCTGATTACTGTCGAGTATGATACATTTAGTCAGAGTCTGAGGAAAGATTAATCCTGCAGTATTATTAAACAGTGTATTTCACTGTCACTGTTGATGTTTATAAAATTCTGATAGTTTTGCAAACTTTTCTCACTTTTTTCTTTGTTCTGAGTCAATCGGAATATTGTTATTATTGACAGTGAATTTTCTTTCTTTGTTAATTTTAGATCCATTGGCAGATTCACTACCATTGCCTTTTGCAACTGGCTTGTTTTCATTTCTCTACCATTTGGCATATTATGAAATTGGTAAGTACATGTACAATCTTTATATTGTTCTGGAGTTCAAAAACTCTTTCACCGTAGCAATAAAATATCATGGGACTTGCAAAACTAATAACGTAAGGCTTCCACTTGCTTGTGACAAAGTGTTGCTACAAATCCGGTATTGAGTGTTCATAGCCAGACAACTGTGCTTCATTAACATTTCATTCTTAACAAAATCTGATCATGAACTACAACATTTTCATGAAGCATTATGTTTTTTTAAAACTGTAGTTCATCATTTCGTTTCTCGTTATTCAGGTGCTGAAGCTCTGGTCTCTTGTGGCTTATTAGAAGCTCTTCTCAGAGTAGTGGAACATCAGGGAGGAGATAGTCATCTGACGGTAAGGATAAATTCTGAAAAAGTGCTTGTTTAACTACCAGAAATGAGGATCATTAAGTGCCATGGGAGCATGATACTTACTTTTCCGTTCTAAGTATAATTATTATTAGTATAAATCTACTAGCGTTCTATCATGAATGCCCTTCTCTGATTGGCTACGCTACTCACTATCCATTCTGTGATAGATAGATAGCAGCATAGCAGTGTGTCCTTGTCAACAAAATGATGGTTGCTTCTTGGCTTTTTTGAAGTGTCTGTAAAGAGGATTTAGATAAAGTTTTGTATGACTAGTAGATTTATGTCTGTACTAAAATGATTAGATTAATCACTTTGATGTGATTTCCATGTTTGATCAAAAGTTTGTGACAAGAGCCATTCGCATCATGGAGTGGATTGCCAACATGGATCTCTCTGGGTATCAGAATCAGAGTGGCCTGACGGCCATTATCAACAGACTTGAGGTAATTTAGAATGCTAGTAATTTTTTTACAGTTACAACCAGTGCTAGCTTGGTACATGTAGGTTTTAATCCTGACTTTGAGACGCCACTTCATGTGTTTATGCCAGAACAAAACTCCCTCCTGTCAGTTATCATATGTTAAAATCATCATGACAGAGAAGGCCATACACATCAAGTACATAACAGGTACGAACTGAGCAAAACAGAAATCATGTGAAGCACCTAGGAAACAACCCAGATGCCATCGAGAAAAGACGTTGAGGTTAATCAGCATTTTCTGAAATTGAACTTAGCTTAGGTTGCATTTGGTTGGTACTGTAGCATTTAGCCATAGTTGATCACATTGCTCATGACAAGAGCTTCCATGAAGCATAACTGGGCCCATGTAAANAATAAAATATCATGGGACTTGCAAAACTAATAACGTAAGGCTTCCACTTGCTTGTGACAAAGTGTTGCTAAAAATCCGGTATCGAGTGTTGATAGCCAGACAACTGTGCTTCATTAACATTTCATTCTTAACAAAATCTGATCGTGAACTACAACATTTTCATGAAGCATTGTTGTTTTAAAACTGTAGTTCATCATTTCGTTTTTCCTTATCCAGGTGCTGAAGCTCTGGTCTCATGTGGCTTATTAGAAGCTCTTCTCAGAGTAGTGGAACATCAGGGAGGAGATAGTCATCTGACAGTAAGGATAAATTCTGAAAAAGTGCTTGTTTAACTACCAGAAATGATGATCATTAAGTGCCATGGGAGCATGATACTTACTTTTTCCATTCCAAGTATAATTGTTATTAGTATAAATCTACTAGTGTTCTGTCACGAATGCCGTTCTCTGATTGGCTGCGCTGCTCAGTGTCCATTCTGTGATAGATAGATAGCAGCACAGCAGTGTGCCCTTGTCAACAAAATGACAGTTGCTTCTTGGCTTCTTTGAAGTGTCTGTAAAGAGGATTTAGATAAAGTTTTGAACGACTAGTAGATTTACGTGTATACTAAAATGATTAGATTAATCACTTTGATGTGATTTCTGTTTGATCAAAAGTTTGTGACAAGAGCCATTCGCATCATGGAGTGGATTGCCAACATGGATCTCTCTGGGTATCAGAATCAGAGTGGACTGACGGCCATTATCAACAGACTTGAGGTAATTTAGAATGCAAGTAATTTTTTACAGTTACGATCAGTGCTAGCTTGGTACATGTAAGTTTTGATCCTGACTTTGAGATGCCACTTCCTGTGTTTATGCCAGAACAAAACTCCCTTCTGTCAGTTATCATGTGTTAAAATCATCATTACAAAGAAGGCCATACACATCAAGTACATAACAGGTACAAACTGAGCAAAATAGAAATCATGTGAAGCACCTAAGAAAAAACCCTGAGGCCATTGAGGAAAGCCATTGAGGTTAATCAGCATTTTCTGAAATTGAACTTAGCTTACATGCAGGTTACATTTGGTTGGTACTGTGGCAGTTAGCCATAGTTGATCACATTGCTGATGACAAGAGCTTCCATGAAGCATAACTGGGCCCATGTAAAGTCTAGCTTGTCCATCTTATATTATGTTACCAGGACTTGATTTTGAGTTCCTGCTACTTGGTGCTTGAGTAGGTATACATCCTACATGTACTTAACTATAAATTGTTATTTTTGTTGAATTATACAGCAAGAAATAAAGAAATGCCAACCTCATCATGGAGCCATACTGTCCCCAGACCTCCCCTCTGCTCCATCAAACCAGCAAGATGGTATTGCCATGGAAACCAGTGAAAACCAGGGAGGACAGTCTGATGCTTCTTCACAGTCACATCAGTCAGAAGAAGTCCCCATGGAGACTGAACAGCCTTACATCAACAATACAGAAGATAACAAAATGGAAGTGGATGAACATGAAACAGGAAAAGAAAAGTCACAGGTTGAGCTTGCTGAAGCAGGCCCTAGCTCATCAGTGAGTCCTGTCAGTAAGAGCCGATGCTTGCCTCAGCGAGCAGCTCTGATCAAGGCTGTTCTTAGCTTTTTGAAGAAGTCTATTCCTGACCCATCCTTCTCAGAAAGCATCAGAAATGGTAAAGTTAGCTTCCATTGCTTTGATCATGCTTTGCTTGACAGGACAAGTATGCAAGTGTTACAATAAATTGAACATATTGGTTTATTTCAGTCATGGATAGCTCACTTCCAACATCACTAAAGTACGTTATCAGCAATGTGGAGTACTATGGTCCTGTCCTTTTCATGGCAGGTATGACTTAACTTCTCCAAAAAACTTAATCATGCTCTGTGGTTAACACTAGAAACAAACAAAAACAACAGTATAAATTATGTGGTTTAATTGACCAAGCGTGAGCTGAAGGTCTTGGGATACAGCACATGTACAGTGTGCTTGCCAAGTTCTTTTTTTACGTACACATTTGTGGACAGAGACACTGTTGACATCCAAAAACATTCAATGAAGAAATGATGCCAGTATTCAGTCATGTTGACCAAACTAGCTTGGTCAATAAAGGATTTATTACAATGTCATTTTACAAACAGCATTATTGTTTATACGAAGCAGTGGATAGTCCCAAGCAGGTAAGATAACTCTATCATGAAATAATCCAATGACAAACAGCACAGAGAATTTATATTTTGAGTGAGTATTTGATCCTTTCTCCAACAGCTATTGATGTTGTGACTGTGTATGTCTTCCATGAGCCATCTCTCCTGTCGTCACTCCAAGACAATGGTTTGANATAGTTTGAGTTTGCCCAGAGGGCAAGCCCAAAATGTTTTCGTTTTGCACCCTAATCTCTCTATCATGATGTGTTACAGTGAATGTGATGGATAACACTTTCTTTCAGCTGTTACAAGAGGTCTGTGCACTAGGCCGGGACCCAAAGTACATTGGCTTCAAGATGGGTGCTAAGCCAGACGGTAGTGAAGTGGACAGTGGTAGTGGATTAGGACAAGGCTCTGGGCGTGTTGCTCCTGTGACTGAGGAACCAATGTCTGACGAGGAAGAGGATGATGAAGATAGATTCAGCTTTACTAGCACTACCAGCACTGCTAAGGTCCTTGCTGAAAATGACAAGAACAGAGATAACTCAAAGTATGACTGCTAATACTCTAATGGAGGAAGAACTTCTCCCATGTTTTATTACAAGATTGACATAATTTTTGTGAAGAAGTGTGAATGAACAGAGTTGGGAAACATAGCAAAGCATTCACATCTGTGAATTAGTGCTTGATACAAAAAGTAGCATTACCAGGTTTATGGTCTAGTGGACAGTCTTTTCATTATAGACATCAAACTGGTCAATTTGTTACAAATCTCTGAGTAGCAACTGGTAGCAAACCTTTTTGTATAACTAATGTATCAAGTATAAAATTATCATAGTAAAGCAAGCAACAGGGTTTTTGACCTGTGTTCATAACAACTTTTGAAGAGATCATGGATGCATTTTTCTTTTTCTTTTTCTTTTTTTTAAGGAATTCTGAAGAGGAGAAACGGACCTTTATTCCACTCATGGACTATATCCTGAATGTGGTGTGTGCAAATATATAGTTCATTAAACTTCATAGAAATACAGCAACGTAATACATCAAACGTGAAAGACCATGTTTAGATGTTTTATTCTTATTTTCACTTCTACAATTAATGCCTGTTTATTCTCAACAAAAGTATTGTTTGACAATAAAAANAAGATAGATTCAGCTTTACTAGCACTACCAGCACTGCTAAGGTCCTTGCTGAAAATGACAAGAACAGAGATAACTCAAAGTATGACTGCTTATACTCCAGTGGAGGAAGAACTTCTCCCATGTTTTATTGCAAGACTGACAGTATCATTTTTTCAAGAAATGTGAAAGAACATAGTTGGGAAACATAGCATAGCATTCACATCTGTGAATGAGTGCTTGATACAAAAAAATATCATTACCAGGTTTATGGTCTAGTAAACAGTCTTTTCATTATAGACATCAAACTAGTCAATTTGTTACAAATCTCTAAGTGGCAACTGGCAGCAAAACTTTTCATGTATAAAATTATCGTAGTAAAGCAAGCGACAGGTTTTTTGACCTGTGTTCATAACAACTTTTGAAGAGATCATGGATGCATTTTTCTTTTTCTTTCTTTTAAGGAATTCTGAAGAGGAGAAACGGACCTTTATTCCACTGATGGACTATATCCTGAATGTGGTGTGTGCAAATATATAGTTCATTAAACTTCATAGAAATACAGCAACGTAATATATCAAACGTGAAAGACCATGTTTAGATGTACTATTCTTATTTTCACTTCTAAAATTAATGCCTGTTTAATCTCAACAAAAGTATTGTCCAGCAGGCAAAAGCATTTGTAGTGTGCAGTTCTGGTATGTTTTTTTTTTTTTTGGCATATGTATCACTACAATAGCCCACCAACAAGTTCACAGAAAATGAACATTAAATGCAAAACTAGTTGTTTAATAGTTAATATCTCTCCATAGGTTCGGTTTGTTGACTCAATTCTGAGCAACAATTCAACTGACGATCACTGCAGAGAGTTTGTTCGTCTTGGAGGACTCGAACCTCTAATTAACATCCTTGGTTTGCCGAACCTGCCTCTCGACTTTGTTTCTTCTCCTGCTTGTCAATCTGTGTCAGGTGTATGCAAATCTATCCTGGTGAGTATAAGTACTCTGGTTTGATCTCTGATGTATTTAGAAGTCCGCTATACCTTTTTATCTCAAATTCTCATGAACAGGTTAGAAGAAAAAAGGATCTAATCATTGCATGCAATTGTATTTACACGTACATCTAGTAGTATACAGAAGCCAAAGACATCTATCTTTATGGCTAAGGATTGCAGGTTCCTTTACCACTTGCATTAGCGATAGAGCTTATGCACATATACGCCTGTATGTGTGAGTCATGAATGACAAGTGGAGGTCAAATGTCACACAATTTTGGACCACGATATTGTTTTTCGTCTATAAAAAAGAACATACATGTAAGTTATAAATGCTACAACAAAAGCTTTCCAACCCCTTGGTGCCAGTCCAACCCTCCCAACGGCTAGAATGTCAACTTCTGTTTGCTGGCCGTGTTTGGCCCATTATAGGACGATACATTGTTTGACATCATGAATATCTTTTTTTTCAGATGCTTTCCCATGAAGCACAAGTATTAAAACAAGGTCTGACTCTCCTCATTGATGTTCTCACTTCCTTGGAACCCCTCATTTCAAGATCAGACGTGTCTCCATTGTCTATCCTGTTGCATGAGGTGGCGTCGTCAGGCCGGCCCCAACAGGCCATGGCATCAATGCAGCTAACTCCACTGTTGCATGGAATTGTAGCTGCTCATGCATACATCAGCATGTTCCTTCATGTGTGCAAAGTGGGACAGGTGAGGCTGTGGTTTGTGGTTGGAATTCTACTTATAGTAATGTAAGGTAAAGTCTCTATCAGGCCAACAGGCCCATAAATCTGGAGCTTATCCTGGTTTCTGTAGCACTAAGCGACTAGGAGTATTTTTGCACCCCCATGGATGGGATCCTAATCCATGGCAGGGTTACCTTCTCCCAAGCATTAAATTTGTTGTTTATTATACATCTGTGGGGAAAGAGACACTGTGAGAGTAAGGTGACTTGCCCAAGAAAACAATGCAATGTCCTCAGCCAGAGCTTGCACCAAGATCACTCAGTCCAGAATCCATTGTGTTAACCAGTAGGCTACTGCACCTCCACAATTCTTATAAAAGTGATAACAAATGATCCTTGATCCTTGAGAACTGAAAGTACTATTCTGTAGAAATATCAAATGTTGACAGAATTTCAATTACGTTGACAGTTTGACATCCGTACCTTGTGTGTGAATCACTGGGGTTCAGATCAGGGAATCACTGTGCTAAAACAACTCAGTCAGCTTTACATGTTTCTCATCTGGGAGACAATTGTGTTGGAAACCATAAGCAAGTCAGAAACATTACCTGAGGAAACAAAGCTGGTTGAAAAAGATCTAGAGATGCTGAAAGCATCAACATCGGCAAGTCAAGAAGAGCCATCAGGTGAGGATTGCCCTGTGAAAATAAAAACTGTCTTCCCTTACTATCACAGTGCTATTTTAAGGTTTCTTTGCAGAAATGACTGGGTGATTTCCTGTTCATTAAAACATAATTTGAAGTCCAGTGCCTTACCCATGAGACCACAGTTGCCTCCCTTGCAAAGAACCTGTAAAAGTAAAAAGAATAAAGGAAATTGCGAATTGACCAGTGCTGTAATCAAATTTGTATTCAGTTCCAGGACAAGCACCTGAAGGCAGCCCGTCAATAACAGTGACAAATGACACAGAAGCAAGCAGTGAAACCACCACTTCAAAGTCAAGTCTTCTTCCTGAACAACAAAGAATTATAAAACAACTTCTTCAAGCATCAACTGCTCTCGGCCGTGCCATGTCAGACCTGTTTGTCCTCCTTGTGAAGCTCAGTGTTGGATCAGCTCAGCGGCAGCGACGGGCTCCACATACTGCAGCTACACCTGGTCTTCCTACCCTTCCAGCACGTCATGTAGCTTTGCAGCTTAGCAAAGTGTTGAAGGATGCTTTGACTTGGCAAGGCCTTCCCAGTAATATTTTAGTGCCCAAACTAAGGTTTGTCTGCAACTTTTATTTAATAATAAATGATTACACTATCATAATTATTACTTTAAATTAGCGGTTTTTATCAAGGCAATATATAAGACCCTTCCCAGCAAGTTTCTATGCCAAAATTAATAAGTTTAATTCGAAGCTCAGGAGGATGCCACACCATATCAAAATTACACCTGCCACAAATACCTGTTGTGTTACCTCGAAATTAGATTTAATTTAATGAAATCAATCTATAGCTTCCCATAGCAAGGTCAAGATTAAATCTCCAGATCTTTTTAATTTAATGTTTTTGGTTTTTTTTTTAGATGGCACTTCCACATGTGCATTGTTGGTTTTGCTTCTCGCCTGCTGTTTGATGAAAAGAAGAATCCTTATCATTTGATGCTGCAACAATTTGTCATGTCCGGGGCACACAGCAGCCTTTTCTTGTAAGATTTACTTTCCGTTGAGAAAACTAAATGTTTTGTCTTATGTTATGTCATACGTTTTGTCTTACATAAATGATAAATATAGCCTTGGTCTTGTGTTTATCTTGTGCCTTGTACATTTTGTACTTTTCCTTGAGCCGCATAAATACTTGTAGGTATGATTATATTGTTAGGGAAACCTAACTAAATTTCAAAGCTGTAGACTGCTGAAGTAGCATCTTTAGCCTTACTGCCTAATGATCCACTAGTTTCTTTCTTGATCAGTGTACATGCATTGTTTGTTTTTCCATTGTTTCTACGGATGCAGGTTGTTAAAACTGGTATTGAGTCAGGACAGCAAAGCACCCATGAATGACAGCATTAGTCACTCAGGTTTTCCAGGTATCGACTAGTGCTTATTTTCATTTTCTGCAATGGTCAACTTGTTGAGATTAAGAACTGTTTTCCCGAATGGCTGTTTTCCTTTCCCCTTTAGCTGGTTCACAGGAATTGTTGGACTCCTGGTTAACACTGGTCAGCAGATTGTCCAATTCTGAAACCCTGATGGATTCCCCACACAGCCTTCCTCAAACATCTACAGCGCCAGGCTTTGTGCCATTCCACCCCATCAACTTTCTTGTCGCAACTCAAAAGGTACATACAATTATTTCTAAGAATTCTGATGTATTTATTAAGTTATCCTGCCCAGACCTTTAGGAAGATATGAGATAATGGCTTGTAAGCCACTGTGGAGTTATTTGTTCAAAGAATGAAACAAAAATTTATGCAGTTTAGTCTGATAATTTTTATTCAGGTATATCCTAAACTGGTACATTTTCCCACCTTCCTTCCTTGTCCCTCCCCCCTCTCCCTTCTTACATGTATCTTTCCTGCCTTTCTCCTTCCTTGCCTTCTTCCCCCTATTCCCTCTATTTTTCCTTCCTTCATTCCTTCCTCCTACCTTCCTACATACATGTGCCTACCTATCTACCTAGCGACATGTGTACCTACATGTAACTAGCAAACCTAGCTACCTACAGCTATACATGTACATGTACCTGCCTACATGCCTACCTACCTACATGCATCAATATGTACACTGTACCTACCAACTTGCATTGCTTTATCATGTGTTAAACTACGTGTACCCATTTCTTTGAATTCACTGGCAGTTAAGACCAGATACATTGCATAATAATTATGCTTACAGCATGTTCACTATTGGTTGCTTGTTTTCCTTTTTGCAGAAAGCATTCTCAGCTGTCCAACAGCTCTGGGGACAGAAACTTCCTAAGGAGTATGGTCCACACATGGCTGAATCCATGCTGGCCATACTTTACCACATCATAAAGGGCGAGGCTGTGATCAAAGAGAAGCTGGGACCAGCAGCTGAAAGCTCATCATCTACAAGTGGCTCCTCTACTGTTGCAGCAGCAAGACCTGCTGATGAACCTTCACGTGCCCAACCTGAGATCAACATGCGGCATTTACAGCAGGTACAGTATACCTACTGGTGTGCTTTCATTTTACTAGCTTGTGGAGGCCATCGTCAGATCTATTTAACCGTTCCCCTAGCTCCCAGACCAGTTATGACCAGTTATATACACGTAGCTGAAAGATACTGGGAAATATTTAATGTGATAGTGTTTATTTTGATTCGTTAAGTTGTATAGGGTGGCTCTTACTTTTGAGTCTGAGGATGAAACCTTAGTATGTCACGGTCTATATGGAAGCTGTTGGCAGTGTGCAGTACCACACATTGCATTTCATTTAAAGCTTCTTGGATGGTGACATATATTACTAGTTAGTTACCAATGAGCCTATTGCTTGTTCAGTTTATAGACATGGGTTTCACTCATGAACATGCTAGACTGGCCCTGCTGAGCACAGGCAGCCTTGAGGAGGCTACTGATTACATCTTGACTCACCCTCCACCGCCGCCTGCAAGGGTAGGTGTTGTGTGGTACTCTTTGCATCGTGCTTTAGTCAAGTGTAAGTTTTGATGTTAAATGACATCACAATTTTTTTTTTGTTAGGAGCTTGGCTTGGATTATGACATGTTAGAAGAAGATCAAATGATGAGGGCCATAGCAATGTCGCTAGGACAGGACATAACAAACACCCCAGCTGAAGATCAGGTACAACAACAATAACCTGTAAACACAGACAGATTTCCAGCTTTTGTTTCACAGCATGAAACAAAAGCTGTGTTTTCAGGCTAGTACAACAATGCCACACTTTAATGACGAACGGAAATGGTTTCTCTATACATGTTCATGTACCTACCTTGGGTTTCCAAAAGTTAGTATTGTCATCTGAGAACTATAGCTATTGTTTTACAATCTTGAGTATTTTTGAAGAACAGAATTGAAAACCGATGTTTTCTACAGGTGCAAGTTATCTGTGTGTAACAGTAGAAGCATTGCCGGTATCTGCAGCTCCATGTCCTTTCGTGGTGTTGTTCGTAAAACCAATGCTATATTAATTCAAACCAGTAGTTTTGCATCGTTGGATCGCTTGTCATACATTGCAGGTGCATCCTGGACTAAGCTGGTACATTAAAGAATTTCCTCTTCATATAATTTTCTGCTATTACTGCTTGTATTCTCCTGGCCAGTTGGATTATTTCAATAGTTTAGCCATGTTGAAGGATTCGATTGAAATGTTTGTGCGATGGCAATACCCTTAGACTTGTAATGTTAAGACCCTGGACCTCTTTTCACTTATGTATAGTCTGCTGTTGCCCCTGCTGTTTCTGGTGCTGTTGTTGACACCACTTCTGCTGCTGCCCCTGCTGCGACAAGCTCTAAAACAAAGAAGGTAGAAGAAACAATAGAGGATAAAGAAAAAGACGAAAAAGGTGATGACAATGGTGATGATTCCACTCCTTTGGAGAAGACCGTGCTAGATCAGTTTACTGCCGACATGTTGCAAGGTTGTCTTGAAGTGTTGACTGGCATGCCAGGAACTGTCTTCAAAGCTTGTGATGTTCTCTCTGTGGTGGCACAGCGTAATGGCGAGGAGTGGAAGGAGAGCACAATGATGCATGTTTTAAAACAGGTGTTGTGTTTCTCCCTGTCTTTTAGCAATGTTTACTTGCCATTTTGCAGGAGTTTCATTGACATTTTCAATAGGAGGGCAACTGGATTTTCCATGCGGGAAAAAGCTTTTTCAACGGAATTTCTTTATAAGAAAAGCTTTCCTTTTAATAGATGATCAAACCAGGCAGTTAATATCATCCTCACAGCCGGTCGATTTGTCAGTTGCCCAGCCCTTCATGAAACCTCTGCATTTCGCTTATATGACTGATGAGAGTTTATGAGTAGTCACTGATTGATTCCACATCAGGAACAGTTAGATTAATATTTCAGACTATAACTTCTGTATATTTTGTTTGATACTGTCGAGTATGTCAGATTATTTCCTTATTTGAATAATCTTGTTTTTCTGCAGCTTACAACGGACATTGGGGTTGTTTTGAAATCTTGCACTAACCAAAGTTCTGACACCAAGCAACTTGAGGAGAGTATGTCACTGCTGAATTCTACACCTGAAGCTGCCCGCTTGTCTTCTCTTCTACATCTCACTTGCTTATTATTTGAAGTAAGTCGTTTACTAGTATGTGTACAAAGTGTATGTTGGTGTTAAGTGTTGCCATGAAAAATTAAAAACATTCCTTGCCCTGAATATTTTGTTTTACAGGAGAAGAAGTTTCAATGTGAAGCCATTGTTGAGAAGTTTGGCATCCTGAACTCATTACTAGAGCTACTTGAACTGTGCCAGGCAAATCTCGTACAAATCAAGTTGATGGGAAATACTGCTACTACACCAGTGTATGTATTCCTCTGTGTTCTTAAGAAATAGAAAATAGTACAGTATGTACCGTGTTTCTATCGAGTTACAGAAACACGAATGGAAGTTTGGGAGAATGATAAATGCTGTGGGAACACGAGCTGACAGGCGAGTGTTTCCACAGCTTTTTCGAGTTCTCCACGACTTTCACGAATGTTTTTATAACTCGGTAGAAACACGGAGAACATGTTTTGTATTTCTTGTAGAAAACACCCCGACGAGAAAAAGGAAACAACTTGTTTACTCTAATTACCAACATGTAAATTATCTTTGCCCGCACCATCATTACGTCAACAGCTCATGCTAGTTCTGTTAAAAACACGATTTAAACCAATCATCGCGCCTATTTTCTTTGGGCTATTTTCTGAAAAGTTTATAGAGGATATTACACGGTGGCGAGAAGATATGAATTTTACGTTCGAGTGGCAAGAACAATATCTCACGAGTNGAAGTGGCGTATGGAATCTACGAGTGGTTTAGTTCCCAGTAAAACACTCTTCTCCATATAATAATAATGCATATTGTGTAGTGTAGAACACTTTTGTGGAACCCTGTCTGCCTCTATTCATCCTTGAAAATGGTGATTCCCACTTATGTCGCACTTAAAAATAGTACTTAGAAGTACAGGACTTTCTCACGTTTCTGTTTCTCTTATAGATGGTTGTCTCCGCTTATACTGTTCTTGGACACGCACGAGAAAATGGCAGTCACAACTAAAAGAAAACAACTTCATGACAAGGTAGAGTAAATTGACATTCTTTTTCATTTTTAAAAAGTACGCTATTTCAGTGAACATTCAGTTTCTGAAAAATTCAATTTCTGGACAGACCTTTTGGCATGACCTCTTATGTGGTCAGCCATTCCTAGCCAGAGTTCTAATCCCTTGTTTGCCCAGTATTCCTGCAGGCCAGCCATGAGCGTCCATACAGGGCTAGCACACGCCCAGCGTACCAAATAGACAGAGAGAAAAAGTAAAAGAGAGGGAGGGCAAGTAAAAATCTAGCAAACAAGAATTTGCAATGCATGAACTTAAAGCTATCACTGCCATACACGCACAACAAGCTGATTGTAGCTGTCTTCTATATACACTGGTAGACAATTCCTTGTAACCTAGTTAAATTGCATTTAACTGCACTATTATAATCTGTCTCAGTGTGTTAACGTGAAGTAAATGATGACGAATTGCTGCTTTGGTTTTCTTTCCATTAAGTGTACTACTCATGCCTGGAAATGGTTTGACGACCGAAGTGGTCGCTGGTACAACTACAATGTCAACAATAACACAACCATCGATGCAGCATACAGGAATGGAGAATCACGAGTCAGGTAAGTCGTCATGTTCAGTGGAATCAGTTCTAATCCAGTTCTGTCCCTCTCTCCGTCACGCAACCTGAGAGCGTAGCATTGCGTGACAGAGAGAGGACCAGAGCTGGACTAAATCACTTCTCTATTAGAGGAATTTTTCTGGTATTGATTCTTTTTAAAATACCACAAAAGAGAAGTCATAAGTAAGTTTTGTTTTTTTTTATTTTTCTCCCAGATTTATGGCAGGAAGGCGGCGTTATTTAGTGAACTTTTCCACCATGGTTCAGGTGAATTTTCCGTTATGTTTGTAATGTTATGTAATGATCTATACAGCAATTTTTCGGGTCATTATTGTGGAGTAATTTTTGTTTGTATTCTTCATGACTTCTGTTTGAGAGTGAGCGGTACTGTGAGTGGTGCGCGATATTTCTGTTGCTTGAACTCTTATTTTATTGTGTTTTGCTGCAGGTAAATGAAGACTCGGGTAACAGACGTCCTATAATGCTAGAAGCAGTCGACAACCCCAGTAGTGGTGCGTCAACAAGCAGAAGAGACGAAGCAGAGAGTTCTTCAAGCAGCGCCTCTGTTGCTAGCGGTAAAGGAAGCGGAGAAGATTCTCAGAGTACCTCCCAGGATAAGCCAAGCAAGAAAGCAAAGAAAGATAAGCAAGACAGAGAAAGCTCAGGTAACAATTTTTCGTGGCAATGGAGTGGTTTTCACTTAAGTATCGAAAAGTAATTGGTTTTGCATTAATACGCTGCACGATTGGCTTAAAGAACTCTCGCACTTTTTCATCCAATCAGAACTAAAAGCAAAACCAATCGTAACTCATTTCCGCACGTTTTCCCGCGCTTCGCACCAGCTACATGTAAATGTATTTACTTCGAGTTTTGATTGGTGTATTGGATTATCTTTGTGATTGACTAGAGTGATTACTCTGGGTTTGGTTTTGAAAACCGCTCTAATCGTGACACAAATGCCGTTGTTTGTAATCCGTTTTAATCTCATCGAAATCTTGACCATCCTTGTAGTTCTTTGGTTTATATTTACCTTTTTGGTGTTTACGAACCTTAGTAAACTATTATTTTAAAGATTCCTTTGATTTGAGGGCGATTCTTTTATATCACAAAACATGAGTTGATATTTCGTCCAAGCATTTCATATAACTCCTTTGAAGGTTGGATGAAGCCCGCATTTGCGTGGAAAATGAAGTTTGCACATTGATCATGCAACAAGCCATAGAGAGTTTCAGGCTTGTAAGGTTTATTTGATGCTTGAGTAATTGTTCGTAATCGGTATTTTTCAGATTCGGCAAAAACTGAGAAGACTGAGGGACGTGTGGTTATTCACCACTTAAATGATGATCAGAAGGCTCTTGTAATCAGGTATTAAAAGATCCTCACAAGGATTTAAATTGCTGGGACAGTTTCCCTTCCACTCTTTTCAGTGTTGATATGAACAATCTGTGATAACAGAATTCTGAGCCTCTCAAGTTTTTCCATAGAGTGATCCAGTCTATGCTCCTCTTGTTAGTTGTTCTTATTTCTGATGGGGAAATGACATTTGTTGAAAACTGCATGTTGTACGAATTCTAAACATCATTGCCGAGTAAAAATGAAGTTACCAGAATTTCAAATCGTCTTGAATAAAAACGTTCTCTAGTTAAGAATTTTAGAACTTTTAAGCTTTCTGCTTCCAGTTTAAAGCTGCTCCTTTAGGAACGTTTTTACTCAAGATGATTATTGCTGAGCTCGTTAGTCGCGGAGTTTGCCCATGTTGTAATTCTTAGCAGTCCCATTTGAATTTGTTTTGTTTGTTTACCTCTTCCTATCTTATCATTTATAATCCTGTTTTAGATGCTGCACAAGACTTATTAGTATTCCTGTCTCCCCAACAACCCTTCAAGCAGTCCTGAAATTATGTCTCAGACTCACTCAAGAACACAAGTACGCAGTCCAGTTTGTGGAGCAAGGCGGAGCTCGTGCGCTCCTTTTCCTCACACAAGACTCTGCAGTTGCTGGTTTTACAACACTGGCAACTCTTCTCCTCAGGCATGTGTTGGAAGACGAAGAGAACTTGAAACACACTATGGAGAAAGTTGTGCGATCGTCAGCGACTAGTAGTGTCAGTAGTACAGTCACTGGAGTGAGTCAAAGCTCACCTGGTGCTAAAGAGATAAATTATATATTACGAATTCTAGGACCTGCAGCTTGTCGCAATGCTGAACTTTTCAAGGAAGTAGCTACAAGCTCGCTACAGTTAGCCATAACTCCTCAACTAAGACGGACAATGATTGAAGGCGGGGAGACAAACATGCCATCGAACTATGCTCAGATTGTGAAGGCAAGTTTGGCAAAGCCTGCTAAACCTCCCCCAGTGGCAAAACAGGTGCATGGCGTTGTCTGCGATCTTTTGAATGTTTTATGTGCGTCTGACAGCACGGCAAGGGCAATGGATAGAGGAATCCTTATGTGCCGCTCAGACAGTCAAATGCTTGGCGAGCTCGGCCGTGCTTTGGGTCAAGTTGGTGATCTGCTGGCTGGGTTTAGTGGTCAGGGCGCTCAGCAGAATCTGACAGCTCGTCAACTACCTGCCTACACAAGACAACTCACTGGAGAGGACGTTGAAGTTGAAGAAATGGCTCTGGGTAAGTTTGAGAGTTTTTCCTGGACTCCGAGTTGTCAAGTCCTCTAGCACTAGTTATCTGCCGTCATTGCGAGTGCCATTAAAGTGTGAACACACGATGCAAAAGCTTGAGCAAAGTGGTTATCAAACGTAATAGGATTTACTATTTCACAGTCAACCTATTTGCTTGTACTTCGTATGTTGACGCAAGTATTTTTTGTATACAATGTAGATTCTTCGCAAAATAGCAGCCAAGGCAATTCACAGTCACTATTAAAAACTGATGAAAAGAAGGACGAAGTTAATGCCACAGAAGAAAACAAGGATTCAACCCCAGATGTCAAGGCACCTTCCAAGCCTCTCTTACCCAAGTCAGCCATTCTGAAGCTGTTAGCAGAGCTGGTGAAGTCTTATGCAGGAGTAGCACAGCTTATTACAGACTACAGTCATACTGCCCAGCTGTCTTCAGCATCAGAGGTTAGTCAGCTTGTAGCACAAAAGTAGATACTCTTCAATTAGGCTTTTCCCCTGCCCCCAACGGCCTCTTGTGTGTTGTCTTTCCCCGCAGATGGTCTTCCCGCGGATAACTCCTTTAGATTCATAACCAGATATCTCCCTCAGGAAAACATCCCAATTTGAAGAGTCTCTTTGCAGATAGCTACTGTGTAGAGGATCGTCTTTTTAAAAGTACCCGCTGTATGCAGTCACAATCTCCAAAATCTAAAACTAACTCTTGTAAAGACAATCCTATTGTTAACATGTAGTCCTTACCATCAGCATCTCTTTGACATAGTGAAAATGGTTCTCTGACCCTGTAGTGTCCCCGAACACAGGTCTCCTCTGGTTGATCGCCCTCTACTGGACTTGGACAGGTCCAATGGTTATTCTCTCTTAAGTGTAATTCCCTCTAGCTTCAAATAAAATATAGTAGACCATGACTAGCTATAAAATTGCCAATAGAAAAATGGAAACATGGAGATCAAAATCACCTTAGCAACATTAAAGTGTTTGTTGTTTGCTCCACAGTATGAAGGACCAGTCCTAGCCTTTATTCTAGATCACCTTCTTCCATCTGGCACACCAACTGACAATGAAGACACTCCATCTTTTGCGCGCATCTTACTTGCAACAATCGCTACATGTCACCAGGCACCTGAAGCTCAGCAGGCCCTGGTTGCCGAGATGAAGGCCTCTCTAGGACGAGCCTTGAGCTTACCAGAGTCAACCGCAAAACACTCCAGGCTACAGGCGATCTTTACCTTGGTACAAACAATGATCGAGACGGGACCTCAATCTTCGCAACATGCGGCAGCAGCCGCGGGGGTGCAGCCTAACAATGTCATGAAGCTACTACTGAAGAAAGGACTCGTGAACGATTTAGCTAGAGTTCCACACAGCTTGGATTTGGCCAGTCCCAATTTTGTTGCGACCATCAACTGTCTGCTAAAGCCTATGGAGAAGCTGTCTGGTGTGGTGAACCAACAGAGTTCCAGTGGTCCGTCCAGTGCTGCTGGTAAAGATCGAGCTACTGGTGGTGATCTGCAGACAGCAAGTGGACAGGGGACAGGGACTGGGTCAGAATCTCAACAGGCCTCGTCAACTGGTACGTAATAGGAAAAGAACTCTAGATAAGATTGCGACCACAATCGTGATATTCCAAGTTGAAATTTTGGAGTGTAAATGTCTGTTATTGTGGCAGGAAAAAACTCTATCCCATGGCTACAAACTCTCGAAAGGTTGGTTAGCTCCTTCTTTTAAAATCATGAAATCACCAATCGATTATGCTCAAGCAATTGAACCTTGCAATTTTGTTCCCCACCGAGAAAAAATTTAAGCTTGCTGAAATATATTTTTACTTAGCATGTTTTACGCTGAAACCTGGTCATGGGCACACTTGGATCTAAACGTCTCTACTGGCAGCTGTCAGAAAAGCGTTTACCAAAGTACTCGTTCCTGACCGAAAGGGTCTGTAAGATGGCATTCTGACCAGGACATTTTGTAGTCCTAGAAACTGATTTTGTGTTTGTAACTGTTTTTAGTCCAGACAAGTGAAGGAGCCAGTGGACCAAGAACAGGAGAGAGTCAGGAATCAACTGATGCAACACCTAGTCAAGGTATAAATATCAGTAGAAGATGAATATCAATCCTAGCATTGAGTTTATTCACACAAGATTAAAATACATTAAAAAAACGCGCAAAATGTTATCTGCAGAAACCACTGAACCTCTTCTGTCACCATGTGGTTGTAACGTTTTCTGCGCTTACTTAGGTTATGCTGCACACAATGTTTCTAAATTTTCAGTGTGTTGATAAAATCATAGCGTGTGGTCATTGAGACAAAGTTAACGCTGCCGAGCGTTTCTTTCATGTAGCACTATTTAGCTGTGTGCCGTACAAGCTGTGGTTGTTACATTGAATTCTCTAATTTGATACTTCACTATATGCTTTCAGTTGCCGCGCATGAAGACTCTTTAGCGTCTGATTCTCAGCGTGATAATGCAGCAGCTAGTGGGGATTCTTGGGGTCTACCTGAAATCTCTGGCAGGGGGATCATTCCAATGGCCTCAGAAGAGGAACTTGAAGAATTGCAGGACATGGTCGACGAATTGTTGAACTCGGATAGCAATGAAGGCCAAGCAGGACAAGGTATAATTTAAAAACTACTGAGAAAAGCCGTAATTAAACACGTGTAAAATTACGATAATTTCACCGTGATGATATCGATGGCGTAATGTTTGTATCATGTTTGACCCTCTAACTGTGCTTAAATTTGTTGGTGTATGATCGAAACATCTTCGAATCTTCCTGGGAAGTCTTCTGCAATCTTCGCTTATCTTCTTTTTTTTTTTTCGGTAAATATTCGGAAATGTTCGTCTGACCTTTGGACAACTTTTGGAGAGTCTTGGGAAATTTTCGGAACATGTTCGGAAATCTTAGTATGTTTATCTAATAAACAAAACAACACAACGGTTGCTTGTGAATATGGCACATTTTCACTCGGTAACACTCTCTTTGTTATTTAGATGTTGACAGTAACATTGTGGCAGAGCATGTGACGACCCGTCGCATGGCGGATGGACGCGTGGTAGAAGAGACCACCTATGTTATTGACCCTCACTCCAGTGACAGTGACAATAGCTCTTCTGATGGTGACAGTGGTGGAGAAGATGTGGGTGAGAACTCTGACGATGATGAAGGCGATCATGATGAGAGAGGAGGAGACGACGAAACCATGGTGATCACTTTTGAAGACGCGGGTGATAATGATGATCATGGTGATGATGATGATGAGGACGAGGGCGATGATGATGACGATGACGATGATGAAGAAGAAGACGAGGAAGAAGATGAAATAAGTTCAGTGAACAGGCCAGAAGGTTTGTGTGGTAATTATTGTTGTAAATCTTAGGCTCAAAGTGGAGCATCGTTATCGAATTGTTAAGCTTTTCAGAATCATTCCCAGAACGTCTTAGTCGAAGTTACAGTGCCCTTTTGAATAACAAAACTCGTTTCCGTTCATTGATGGTTTGAAATTCGGAGAAGAAAGATGCTTTCTTCCTATCAGCACTTCCATGCGCGAGCTTCACGTTAAGACAGCCGGACCTGCGCAGTCATTTTGCTTCCCTCAGCGAAGGTCACAACCTCGGCTCCTGCGAGGAGAACTCGCAACTTGATTCATCAACAGCTTTCTCTGTAGTCTCGGCTCGTCTTATTTGATAGCAGCTATTTCATGTTATTATTCCACTACTGCGCATTTCACCGTTTTAGTTCAAGAGCGCGCGCAAAATATGAACCTGTATTGTACTGTAGAGTCGTATTTTGTATTCGTCATTCGTACCAACCTTAGTACGATTTTCGGAGGATGCAAAATGTATTTCTAAGAAATACATAGAAATACTAGAAAATGAAATAATTGTGGAATAATAGTTGATGGTTAAACGTATAATACGCGTGGACATCTTGCTCATTACTCTTACAAAATACCAGGCACTCGCAAAATATCCGAGTGTAATATTTGTTAAACCATCGAATAAAATGTATCTACATCCTGATGCAAGGGCTGAATACTCAGTTATTTCATGACATCCTTCAGGTGGCATGGGTGTGAGAGAGGCTGGAGTGATGGAGGAGTCCAGCGGAGTTGATGTGATGGAAGAGGAGGGAGAAGAAGACGAAGATGACCATGATGAGGACGATCATGATGATGATGAAGACGAAGGCGGCAGTGACATGGATGAAGATGGCGTTGACATGATAGGAGAAGATTCTTTCAGAATTTTCGAGGAGGATGCCATCTACTTGCCTATGGACGAAGGTTCTGGTTAGTAATCTGCCACTTTCTCTTCCTAATGCTTCGGTGTCCGAAGTCAAAATTTTCATTTTCCTCTTGATTGCTCATTGCAGTACATATATCTTATTAGATGTTTTGGTGTGTAGTATCGCTGTATATTTTTACGACTTGTACCTACGGGCTCGTCAAAATACAAACAACGAGTAAAAATATATAGCGATACTACACACCAAAACATCTAATAAGAGATTTATTATCCAACTGCTGTAGTCAGTAAATTTATCAATGAAAGAGGGAGAGTGTGACAGTTTTGCGTGCGCGCGCCGACCTGTACGGCAAACAGGTTTTCTACTGTACAAATAACTGTAC